AATATTTTTGTTTACTGCTTTCTACCTAGAATACTTTTTTGGTGTTAAACGTAATTAATAAAAATCTTCTCTTATAAATATTCAATTTTTTTCACGAAATTTTATACTTTAGAGACAAAAACATTTTTGGCCTCCTGACATGTAAATGTCAAATTAACGTACAATTGACACCTATTGAAAGACTGTATTTACAGTCGCCTGGGTATTTTACGCACGGACGAGTGTAAAGTGACAGTTTTATCGCACGGCCAAAATTATCTTCATAGACATTTATAAAAAAAACTGTTTGTAAGATGATAACTTTTTTAATAAAACGCTCTACACACAACCTTTCAATCTTAGAACTCTTTTTTCTTCACACTATTTTATAATTATAAACACATTGTACTGGGCTTCATATCTTGCTAGCGATTTTTCCGGCAATAGCTCGGTTGTAACATTTTCTGCAGCACTTCTGATTTCTGGTTTGACATTAGAGTGCATAGCCACCGTGATATTTAATGTCAAATGTATTTACTTGTATTAATTCTGAATTTTGTGGATTTTTGTTTAAACGTCGGCCAAAAAGCTTAATACAAATCTTGTGCGTTAACCATTTTACAGTGCTTAATTATTAAAGCACTCCGCTGCGCGTCGTGCTTCAAATTCATTTCGCACTGTAAGATGTAAGTTACCGCACACGAATGTAAATAACTATTTTGTTTCTAAACATGTTGTCGGTTTGGTTTCAGCTAAACAATCATTTATGACTTGCATATTTCGGTTGACAATAATTAATTGTCTCGTGCTTAAAGTTTGTCCTAAATTTTAAATGTATGTAATAAATTACACAGTTGGCAAATAGTTTATTATTTACTTTATGGTTTTATCAAGTGTAATTAGCACGTTGTTGTAAAAATTTGTACAATTATTGTAGTTCTTTGATTTAGTAGTACTAAATAATCTAGAAACAATAATAAATAAGAATAAATAAAGAATATACGCAGAAAATAATTAAAAAAATAATTTTTGTAATATCTAATTGATGAAGGTTACTTTAAAGATTGGTTGCTACTATGTAGGTACTAAACGGTAGCAGTAGTATCGTAGAGTAATAATATTTTACTTTCGAGAAAAATGTTTAAAGATTTTTCTACGTACCTAGTTTTTGTAAAAAAATGAAAAAACATTTTTTTTTAAATCGTTATTAAAGTTACATACTAGGTAAATAAAAAGTATGGAACCAAACGTTTTTTGCTTAAATTATCTATTTTTTAGAAGAACTAACTAATGAATGATAAAGTACTACAA